CTTGTGACAGCCCCACTTCCCCCTAAGGCGAACAAGAGGGTTCGGCGGACCGCCTGCCCAACTCTCGCCGGGACTCAGTCGTTCACTTCAGTCCTCAATTAAAATCGAAATAAAACACAGGAATAAATATAACGACAATCCAAAACTTAACGCAAAACTTATGTACATTAGAGTACAAACATCGAATATACAAAGGTTCTCAATTCACCATACATCCAACCCGTGCCGAGCACTAGGGCGACAACCATTACAAAACCAAAGAAACCAGTCTAGGCTAGACTCTACCGAGCTCTCGTCCTTGCTCGCCGTCCCCTGTTAAAGAAAACAAAACTAAAGAAATGAGTTAAAAGCTCAGTGAGGTTCCGAACACATAGGCAACAAGAAGTTCAATGCATTCATTACATATAACCAATAATTCAAGATACAAATACAAAATAAAGCGATAACCACATTCATTAAAAGGATACGGGCTCACAGGGAGCCATATATTCATTCGTTCGTTCGTTCTCCTGTCTTTCCCCTTATTCCTCCGATCAATTAAATAAAATGCATTTTTGGTAAATAAAACCCTCGTTCGTTCTTTCGTTTCGTTCACCCCCTCCTGAAAATTAACCAGGCTCCACCAGACTACAAGGTAATACTCGAGTATACTAAATTCACCCAGGGTCACCATATCGCCCGACCGAGTCCGCTTCTGGCTCGAGTCGATCGGTAACGAAGGGCAGGGCCCAGTTCAGCCAAAAGGCTTACATCATGCCCAACTAATGTAGCAATCATTAAATCATTGAAAATTTCACGTTTCATTTAGGTCGAGCGCGGTAAAGTACACGCTCACCTAGAAAACTCATTTTGGAAATCCTTAAAAGCACTTAACACATTATCAAACAAGAACACAAGTCATGAAGTCAAGAAAAATATAGCAAACAAGAAACACTCACCTATTTACGCAAAACAATTGGCAAATATCCTTCCGGATATTACCTCAATCACCGAGAAAACCTAAGAATAAATGAGAAAGAATATTACAGTCTATCTAGCACAAACAATTAGGTGAAATCGAAGAAACCCAACAATTGATGAATAAAATGTATAGAAATGACTTTAAAGTGAAACGAGGGCATTTGGACCGGTGGACGGAAATAGCTAGGGTTTCATAAACTAAACGCAAAACCAAACAAAAAGGGGTATAAAATTTCCAACGGAAAACACTTGAACCAAAGACATGTCGGAATCCAACTATATAGACTAAGAAATATTGTTTTCGAGATTGTTTATGTGGTTCAAAATCATAAGTAAACATTTGGAGTTTCCAATTGAAGAAGGATCATGTTTTAAGATGGAAAAACGGTCATAGTATGTGCCAAACGAAAATATACAAGTTCAAGTAGAAACTTAGCCCTCGAGCGAAAATTTGGGCAGCACGCCCTTTGTATTTACCTATTTCCCAGCCATTTATGGCTTCATTATTTTCCTCAATCAATCCCAACATTACACACAACATAAATAGCCACTCAATAGGCTCAATGTCATATGATTACCAAATCAAGCTAGGACATGTGCGGAAATGACGTTTAGGTTGGAAAACAAAAGGCAGATTTGCTGTTGCTTAGCGGAACTAACACAACTGAAGTGACACTAGTCGGATTGAGGTGTAATTTACACCATTTCGAAGCTAAGAGAAAGGGCTACAATGTTGAAGGAGGCCACCCAGTCCAGTTTGCAATGTATCTAGGTCAAATTTACTAAAACAACCCCAGATTTTCCAGTTCGCAGTTCAACTAGCAGTCCTGATTCATTCAATCATATCTCAGCACATACAACTCCAATTCAAGTGATTCCAAAGCCATTGAAAGCTAAGATACAAGGCTATAAGTCTTAAAAAGACATTGACAACCAAATCAGTAGTATTCCTGGTCAAAACAACCAATTACAAAAGCTGATTAGCATGTTCGGATAGAAACAGGGCAGCAGGGGTATTTCGGTCTTTTCACAGGCTACATTACTCCGATTGAGTTGAAATTTTGCAGGCTACCATAAAACATCATTCTCTAAAACTTTCATGTTTTGTGCTAAGGCCAAATCGGCCTATAACGAGGTGTAACAGTACCGGGCAGAATTGGGAAAAAATGAAACCCTAAACTGGAATTCATGCATTCAAGTGCTAATCTTCCACAAAACAACATCTAAAACAACTAAAAACCACTAATAAGCGATTAATTGAAGTAAAGAGGATGTTCTTGGTAAAATATCTTAAAATCACAAGAAAGGTAGGAGCTTAATCTTTCCTCCTCCAAAACAACTCCACCAACACCTTTAACCTTCCCTAATGATCACTTGTATGGTGTGGTTTGTGATTTGGTTGGTTGAAACTCAAGATTTAAGCACATTTGGAAGCTAGAAATTAAAGAGCTCTCTCTTGTTTTCCTCCTCAAGAGGTTCGGCCAAGACACAAGAAAAATGAGAGAAAATTGAGTCAAAATTGATTTTAGGAAAGTTAAGAAGGTCTTGGTCAAATCCAACATCCAATGGGTTTGTGACACTTGGCACCTTGCTTGCTTAAGCTTATCTCTTTGTCTCTCTAATACTAATCCATATAGGTAACTTCGAATTATCTCTTAACACCTTGTAAAATAATATCACTTAACCAAACTCCAACAAGTTGTCAAAAATATATCGCATTTACCGCACTAGCAGGTCCCACGTCCATAATACACTTCAAACTCAACGTACACTAACTCATACTAGGAAGATGATTTTAAAACTGTACTTACTTGTAAAAATGCATAGAAAATTCAATATTTCCAAGGAAAGTATAAAATATAGTCAAAGAAATAAAATAATGCTGAGAAAATGTGAAAATTTTTGGGTCCTCACATTTCTAGTTTTAAATTTCTTAAATGCTCATAAGCGTAGTTTTACAACCAATTAGCTAAAATTTCAAGATTGCATAAAAGTTTCATTTCTCCCTTCATCCTATCCTAGAACAAGGTTCCAGCTCAAGCGTTCCTAAACCTATAATAAACTCCACCTTTTAATTGTTTAAACTGTAGTTACCCAATATACCTTCCATTCAAGGTGATTAACTCAAAATTTCAGCATGTTGATCGACCACATCATATCCAAAATCTGTCATTTATGATCACAACCATTAACTAGGCTTTCAAGCAATGTATCAGTCCAATGTTCAGCATGTTTCCCTTAAATCTTTCCTTTCCAACTAGCCAGGTTAATTACATTTATTAAGCTACAAAGTAACCTTGTACAGAACGTGGAAAATTTACAATCAACTCAAAGGAAGACTGATCTAAATCTTCCTCACTCTCGGCCAACTACCTGCAGTCAGGTGAGTTCATTTGTCCTGCTATGTTCACTCTAGTTCCTACTTGTTTCAGTCTTGCTTGATGAAGTTTAAGGTCTGTATAACGTGCTACAGCTTGTTACACAGGTTTAGAAGCTAAGGGTTGCAGGGAATATCCAAAACTTCCTATCAGTTTTACTCAGACGAAGCCAACAAATTCCAGTAGGTAGTGACTTAGCAGCTGAATTTTCCCTTTAGTTTCTCTTCAGTTTTATATTCCAGCTAAATGTATAAAGAGTAATGACTCAACTACAAATTATCGTACATAAAGTATGACAGTTTATGACCATAATTTATAAGAAGGGCTAGACTAAATCTCATGCTCGTACTTAGCTGCAAAATCTGATGCATAGCAGCAGGCATCAGATTTCCTTCGAGTTCAGTTCTCTCCATTTCGAGTTTATCTTCTCAGGCGTGAAATAATCAAGATGCCATGCACACTAAGTAATCAAGATGCCATGCACACTTTACAGACTATCACAGGAAATTCTAGAGTTATTACTCCTGATAATTAACCAAAATGCTTCATTTCTTCAGTCGAAGCTCAGTTTCTGCAATTTCACAGTTTCTGCACAACACTTTCTTGAACCAGAAGCTAAATTTCTAACTAAGCTCCACTTATAGCTCATATTAAACCAATTATACTATCTAAACAATGAGTTGTTATGGAAAGTGTTACCTTTTCCTCCTTAAAGTTTGTTAATGGTAAACTGCTCTAACTCTCTCTTTGCTTCGGCTCTTCAACTCTTGCACCAGCTATCTCTCCAGTTCCTCACATTTGGCTCGTGGTGTTGAGGTTACAAGCTGGAGAAATGAAGCGAGCCAATGTTTATCTCTCTCTCCCTCAATCTCTCGGTTGCAGGCTGGTAGCAAGGTGAAGCCAGAAATGTTTCTTTTCCTCTCACTCGATTGTGTTTTGACCGAATCTCTCTCTCAGTTTTGTTCCTAGTGCTTGGTTGGCAGGAAGAGAATTGAGTGTACTTCTTCACTCGGCTGACCACTCAAAGTTTTTTCATTCAGTGGTTGATCACTCCAAAGTTTCCCTCATTCGGTCACTGCTTACTCAGCAATTTTGGTAGCAGGTTCATTCCAGGCAGCTGTCCAAATAAGAGTTACTCACCGCCCCAAGCTAGCAGCCAAATTCTACTCATTTCCTTTCCACCGTTTAGTCTAGTAGATGGTTGGCTGACCTCTATTCAGTTTCAATCCCTCAAGCTCTCGGTTTTGTTTTATGAATTTCTGATGGTTGGTTCCTTGGCTGCATGGTAGTTAGCCTGAAATTCCATGGGTGTTTTAGTCTTTTTATTTTAGTTCATTTGGTTGCTGTGAGTCCGTAATTTTATTGTCTCACACATTGTCTCAAAATTTCATTTGTTCTAATTTGTATGTACCTTGATTAGTCATGTAACTTATTCAACTGTATAATATATTCAAATGGCTCAAATTACAATATGCATATCATATGTTTATATATATTTTTTTTAAGGGAAATATCTCTTTTATTTAATCCAAGGCAACGAGAGCCAGATACAATAGGTGGAGAGAGAAAACAGAGCCCTACCACCTAACAGGGTACCAATCTAATGGACGGAAATTCCCTAGCGTCCATAGCCAGACGTTCGCAAATTTCCCTTGGCAGATGCTAAACAGAGTCAAAGACCATACTAGGATACCCTTGCAGAGCCGCTAACCTGTCCGCAACCATGTTTGCCTCCCGGAATATGTGGATAAATGACCCAGCCACCTGGTCTAGTAGACGATGAATCCGCCTCAGCAAGTTGTAATGCGACCACCCCCCCAGAGCCGACGATTTGACAAGTGATACAAGAACTGCAGAGTCAACCTCCACCATCACCTCCTGAACCCCCTTTGCCGCACACACTCGCAAACCTTCCAGGACTGCCAGTGCCTTGGCCTCCAAGACCCCCTTCTCCCCAAACTCCTTATAAAAAATAAGTTTACCATCCGAGTCGCGCAATACCCCTCCTCTACTCGCCCTTCTGTTGACCATGCTAGCATCTGTATTCAATTTGTACCGCTGAGCTTGGGGTTTGGTCCATGCAACTACCACCGCCCACTATTTACGGCCGACCAAACGAGCCAAACGTGCCTAGTCACTCTCCATGTCGCCATAGAACTGTGCCTTTTCAAGTTTCCACGCTCTTCCCAAATCCTGTATGAAGTTTGCCACTTCCCAAATGACCCTCTATGCTGAAAATGTGTGAGGATCCATAATTTTATTCTTTCAAAATATTGTTAAATTGGTCATTTTAAAAATATTTCGTACTCGAGTTACCAAAAAAAAAAAAAATACTAAAGTACATGAATTTCTCGAAAATAAATTTTTTCGATTGGTTCTTTACGCGCATATTATTTTAATGCCCAAATTTATTCAAGATGAATTGCTTATTCGGGGAATGATACCCTTACTTGAGATTTGTAATGTATCTTATCTCGTTCTAAGTTTGAAAAATGTTATTTCATTTATTCTTGAGGTTGTACCCTATGTTATTGGATATGAGTGATGTATTTGAATTGAGGACTGTAGTGAGTCCCGGCGAGAGTTGGGCAGGCGGTCCGCCGAGCCCTTTGGTTCACCTTAGGGGGAGGTGGGGCTGTCACAAAATGCTTGCTCTTCGAATCTTGCCTTGTTTCGACCCTGCCAGAGGAACCAAGATATTAGGATTGGAAGGATACATCTGACATGATGGGCAGGGAGGCGAGGCAGTGACGTGGCCCATTTCGTCCACAATAGTTGCAGCTCCTCCATTGGCAAGCGACGTATGCCAAACCTATTACCAAAGTGCCCCCAAACCATTGACAAACAGGTGGAGCACTGATTCCTCGTCTGCGAGACAGCAGAAGCATCGGGACACCAAGGGTACCCCTCTTCGACGGAGTACCAAATCCACAAGGACATAGTTCCTTAACAGCCTCCAAGAGAAAACAGACATTTTCAGCAGGACCCTCCTATTTGAAACCATTCCATGTATCGAGGAGCCACCTCTACGTTACCGACAAAGCTCCCAAGCTGAGCCTAGCGAAAAGCCACCCGTCGCTGATGGTGCCCACATGATCCGGTCCTGCCCGTCTAGGTCAAAAGGGACGTCCACAATCGAATCCACGAGGTGGTCTGGTAGCCACTGCAGGAGAGGTCCCTGTTCCACCCTTCCCGTCCCAAGAACTCTGCCACCAAAAAATGAGAGTTGGCACTATCCGCCGACACCATTCCACGGAGAGGACCAAGCTCACACCAAGTGTCAAGCCAGAAGTCAACCATACCCAAGCCCAGGCTCCACAAAATGTGAGCCTCAGCCATTTACCGTATACCAATTCGGCACTTCCATGTACCTTTCGGTCTCCCTACCACTGCTTGCATCGGATGCTGGTCCCCGATATACTTAGAGAACATAAAATCTGACCAGATAGATCCTCTCTGCCTCAGTCTCCACCACAACTTATAAGAGAAGGCTTTGACCATGTCGTCCAACGACCTCAACCCTAATCCACCCTCCTCTGTTGGGAAACACATCTTCTCCCAAGCTGTCCAATGTATTTGTTTAGCATCCTGTGCTTTGTCCCATAGGAAAGCGTTAAATATTCTCCCCAACGCCACTAAGACTGCCTTAGAAGGCTTAAGCACCTGTAGCAGATACATTGGCATCGAATTCAAGACGTGCTTTAGTAGAATTAATTTCCCCCCAGTGGGCAATCTCGTGCTCTAGTGACAGACACGCGTCCTCACCTTCGCAATAATCCCGTCGAAAGAACTGCCGTTGAAATGCTAGAAACAAGGTCTACTTGCACCTCAGGTGTCCCAGATGGACACACAAAGCAACTTTTGGCTGCATTAATCTTTTGCCCGGAGTACCACAGTTATAGCTTGAAGAAATCGGCCACTGCCCCTAAGGTCTCTCTCGACAACCTCGTGAACACAATGACATCGTCCGCGAAGGCCAGATATGGAACTTTAAGGCCTCTAGTCTAGAAAAATCTATGACGCCCCTACTGGAACACGGCATTCAACCCCCTCCCGAAGAACTCGGCAACTAGTACGAATAGGGTTGGAGAGATCGGATCCCCCTGTCTGACCCCTCATGTCAACTTGAAAAAACCCGCCGGTTCCCCATTGACAAACACTGAAAACCAATTATTTGCCACCAGGCGAAAGATCAGGTCCACCACATTTTCTTGAAAACCAAACTCCCTGAGCATGAAGAGGAGGAAAGACCACTCAACTCTATCATACGCCTTTTCCATATCCAATTTTGACATAAGGTTCGGACTTTCCAACAGGCGATCGAGTTCCTGTGCATGCTCTTGGGCCAGCAGAATGTTATCAATTATTTGCCGCCCCGAGACAAAGCCGGTCTGCCACGGCGAGATCAGTGAGGGTAGTAGCCTGTTCAACCTATTGGCTACAAGCTTGGAAATAATCTTGGAGCTGACATTGCACAGACTGATTGGTCAAAAGTCTTGCCAGGAGGATGCCTCTTGTGTTTTTGGTATCAACACAATTAATGTGCTGGTGACCCCTTTCGGCAACCATCCGCCCTTAAAGAAATCTTGAACCGCCGCCACCAACTCCTCCTTAATTATCCCCTAACACGCCTGGTAGAATCCCGACCCAAGCCTATCCGGCCCAGGGGCACTATCTATATCGATTGAGAACACAACCTCCCGAACCTCTTCCATTGACGGTAGCGCCATTAGGCTCTCGTTATCTCCCCGAGACACCCTGGGAAGGGTGAAAGGCAATCTTGGGTGATGGTGCGTACTTCTATCCGAGCTGAACAGTGCCTCAAAGAACGAAGCGGCTGAGTCCATCATATGTTTATTTGATTCATATAATTTTTTTTAACTTTTTTACACCATTCTAGGATATATCTAAATTCTCAATTTTTATATAAATTCAATTAGGCATTTAATTTAACCATTTATTCGTTATAATATTTCTAATATTGAAGTAACTAAAATAAAAGAAATTCATAGCATACATATAATTTTTCTCAAGTTCTCACATTGGAAGGTTGGATAGACTGTAGATAGGGAGAAATGAGACTAGAAGGAAAAAAATTGGATCATTAATGAGTGCTTGTTTGAAAGAGTGTTTTGGATTTAGCCAAACATTAAAAGAGGAATAAGGATCGGAGTAAGTAAGTTTCAGGGGATCTGAAGGAGTCACTTCTCCTTCGTCCATGGAGCGAAGAGATCTCTTTTTTAGGTCCCATTTGGCAAATGAGTTTTTTGAATGTTTGTCTAAAATTTTATTGCAACTTACTGTAAAAATTGTAAGAAAAATTTGTAGAGTGTGTAAATTTAAATTTTTTGATATTGTAAAGTGTATAGTTTAAAACTTTTGAGAATTTTTTTGAGATTAATATAGTTAAAGTTGTTAAAAAACTTGTAGCAAACAAATTTGGCAAAAAAACTTATTTGCCAAACAGTCCCCTAGAAGTAGAACTACCATTTTCACAAAGCAAACAAAGCTTATCAATTACTATGTAGAATGCACAAAAAAATTAAAACTCCAAGCTCCATAAAGTGATGCAACATAAGAAATGCTTCCTCCGTCCCATTGACAATGTCGAACTTTTCTTTTGGTCTGTCCCAAAATATTTGTCATATTACTTTCCTTTATTGGTAAGTTTTCAAGTTACCAATTAAAGACAATTAAAGACTTGGTAGGCCCATTAAAATAATTTCTATCAAAGAGAGGAATTTTGACGTGTATAAGAACTTAACTCAATTTATGGAGAAATATGTGTGTTTGGATAGAGTATTATTTGAAATATTATTTGGAATAATAATTGTAGTACTTTTTGTGATGTGATGTATTTGAGATAAAAAGGTGATTGAAATTATAAAAAGATGGATTAAAAATTGTGTTTATAATGCAAGCAAAATATTATTTGTAAAAATTTAGCTATCCAAATACTCTCATTTTGAGGCATGCTCCTCACTCTATGTTAGTAGAGTTTGAGTTCAATAGCTTTCTCTTTTAAAATGACCCCCACAAAACAAAGAGACTTGACATGAACTTACAAACTTGCTGCCAGGTATTTGATTAAAATAAGGGTAAAAATAGAACTCAAACTCATAAATATAAACGACATTCCTGTGCATAAAAAGTTGAAATCCCTAATAGGCATCAGTTCAAATAAATCCAAGGGATAATTTTAGAAATCTCCCCTAAGATTTTTGTTAGTAGCACTTGCCTCTTTTGAAGTTTTAGAAATATCACATACTTCCCCTAATTCATATGTTTTCATGACATGCTAGCCTAAGTGACACTAAAAAACTAATTTTTTGATAGAGAAGATAATCTTATCTCCAAAATGCTCTTCTGCTATCCTCAATTACAAATCTAATTTTTGGCTTTAATTCAATCTAGTCATTCACCTGTGCATTTGTATGGGTACTTTTTATGTTTTAAAATTTTTATTTTTTGGAACGAAATATAAAAGAATTAAGAGTATTATTTAATAAAATTTAACATACTATGTGTAAATTAAAATTTTAAATTAAATTGATTAAAATAGTCAATTCATGGTTCATTCTGTTACGACTAAAAATGATTTTGAAAACAAACTAATAGACAATGAACTTATCATTTGATTATATTATTTAAAAACTACAAACGAAAAGTAATTTAGAAGAATTTTTACATTTTCGTGTTTATATGGATACCACTTTTACCTAAGTGTCAAATCACTTAATTTGATACTCAATGTGTTCATATGTTAACAATAGTTCGATATATATAACCCTCTCTTAATTAATAGGATAGATAATTTTAAATTGGGTATTAGATTGTCATTAATAATTTTCTACCTTGATAACGATTCGCATATAAAGAGATAAGTATATAAAGATATAAGTGGTAATAAAAGCTAATTTTATCTGTCTTGTTCTGCTTAAACTATCAAAGTCAATCTAGTTCATAATTCAAGGATGTGTTAAGATTCTTTATTTTATCAAATCATGTTTGGGTTGAATGGTCTAATTCTG